GGGCGGCTGCAAGAGGGCAGGGAGGGGCGGCTGCTGCAGGGCAGGGAGGGGGGGCTGCAGGGGGGCCAGGGGCGGCGTAGAATGAGGTGGTTGCGGTGTACTCCGGAGTATGCAGTAGATCGTGTGACCGAGAAGTAGCAGGGAGCGGCTGCAGTGGGGCAAGGGGCGGCCGATTACGGTTTCGCCGGACTGTGTAAACGGAGACGGCTGCCATGGAGTAGAGTTGTTTGGCTACCGAGGCTGATGGGCAGGCGCAGAAACAGGCAGCAGGTTCGGGGCGCGGGTCATGTTGGTTTTCTATGATGACGTGAACACGGGGATGATAATTAACCATCCCCTCCCTTTTCGTGATGCTCCATGTTTTTTCATCCAAAAAGTGGCGTTATGTCTAATTCTAGCTCTTCGAAGTACTTTCATCACACTGGACAGATATTACGTCCTGTCGCTGGGTATGCCAAAATTCCGCCTTTTCCCGGACCAGGGGATGGTAACGCACCATCCCCCCCCCATCGAGCGGATTTTTTTTTTTTCTCTCTCCAATGTCATATGTGATCGTTTGCCAAAGTTGTCCGACGTCCACCGTGCCCAAATGGCACGTTTCCGTCAATATTCTTCAAACCTTGCTTATATTCCCGGATTTCCAAACCTTGCTTATATTCTCGGACAGAGGGAGTAAACAATAATAGACAAGACGCCGAGCAGACGCCAGGTAGAAAAAGACCGCTGACACGCGAACGTCTCGTTGTTCCCACCGCCGTTATCGTGTACACATTATTGTATGTTTTGGATTTGGAGAGCCTCCGAGTGGATGCTAGTGGATGCCTCCCCGTCTCTTGAGGCTTCAGCAGCGAAAGCGACAGATGTCGCGGTTCTCCGTACTTTGTCGAATGTGAACGATTCCCCGATGTGCTATACGTGGTTCCTCGCGCGCATTTAAGATCGAGCAAATCCGATTTTCATTTTGGAAATGAATTACTGCCGAGGCCTCCCTACTGCCCACAGATTCTGAAGCAGAGGATACAGACGCCGCTGAACACATGGTGCGTGCAATCATTCAACATTTGAGCCAAAGTCGACAGTTTCGATAAGTAGGATAATGTGTTCGAATAAGTCCTTTATTTACTTGGAAGGGGAAGACGTTTTATCTCTTGTATTAGACACGCAAGGGGAGTAGGGAAAAGTGAAGCCCTCTTTGGAGTTCGAGGGGTCCCCGCACATGCAACATTTCAAGGTGTACATATGCCCCATCTGCGTGCCCTCTGATGTTGCCGGTAGATCTAACCAGTCCGTATCCAAACACACGAACACACTCCCCGGTTTGCATGCGAATGGCAAACCTAACGTGGGGCATGGATACCCCTGATCTACCAAGGGGACTCAAAACAACAACAGGCTCGAGGGGAAACCCGGCCAACCGGATCAAAAACCCTCGTCTAACACCCTAAATATAGAAAACCGTCGCTATCACGGAGGATTCCAGCGACCGCACTTCCAAGACAAGGCCAAGGCAGGATAGATTGAACCGGTCACGGTGATTACACACCCGAAGCAACGCTCTTGGCGTTTCTAGGCTCCAGCCGCGGGTGGCGCGCCGGCACAACTCTTCCTGCGTGACGTACCATGGTCATATATGCCAAGTGCTAAAACCACCACATAAACCAAACAGAACAAGAAAACACTACATCGGTAGGTTCATCAGAGCCTTCCGGTGGTACTCTAACTTCTCCCTGCCAAGGACCTTGGTCAGCATGTCGGCGTGCTGCTCTCCAGTCGGAACATACTCTGCAGTGATCTTGCCCGACTTGAATAGCTCGCGAATGAAATGGAACCGCACGTCGATGTGCTTGCTCCTCGCTGAGCTGAACGGGTTCTCGATTAAGGCGAGAGCCCCCTTGTTGTCCTCAAGGACCTTGAATTTCGCCCCACTCGTCTCGGGCGCTATAAACGACAGAACGCCACGCACAAACAACGCCTCCTTCGCGCCCTCTCCGGCTGCCATATACTCTGCTTCCGAGGTCGACTGAGCCGTCACTGGCTACGCCTTGGTGGATGCACACACTACGGTACCACCTGCGGTCACAGCTAGCCCGGTCGTAGAACGCCTGTCTACTTCGTTGTCAGCGTAGCTGGCATCGACAAACACGCTTAGGTCTAGTCCTGACCCCCGTACGTAGGTGATGCCGAAGTCCTTCGTGAAGTTTGCAGGACATGATCCGCACAAGCGCGTTCCATATCCTCCCGGTGGGTGAGTGGGCGATCTTCTGGAGCTTGTTCAGAGACAGGGCGATGTCTGGTCTCGTCAGCTTCGTCCACATCAGGCA